CATCTAGTCCAACCTGCTGCTCAAACCAGGACCATCCTTAACTAGATCATTCAAGCCAGCATTTTGTCAAGCCAAACCTTGAAAACCTTCAAGGATGGAGATTCCACCACTGCTCTTGGTAACCTGTTCCAGTGCTTCACCACCCTCCAAATGAGAGAGTTTTTCCAAATATCCTGCCTAAACCTGCCTTGCTGCAACTTGAGACCATGTTCCTTGTGCTGTCATCTGTCACCACTGAGAAGTCTAGACAGCTAGAAGATTACAGAACAAGGAGCAGTGATCTCGATGGAATCACCCTTCAGGAAGTTAAAGCCTGCTATCAAATCCCCTCTGTCTTTTAGACTGCAGACTAAATAACCCCAGTTCACACAGCCTCTCCTCAGAAGTCATGTGCCCCAGCCCCAAACCATTTTTGTTGCTCTCTGATGGATTTTTGTCCAACTTGTCCATATTTTTTTGGGTGTGGGGGTGCGGAAAAAACTGGACACGTGGAACAAATGACTTTGTAAATTATTTATTTATGCTAGTGCATTGAATATACTTCAAGGATTTGGACTAGGGTAACAATAACACCATGGAACTGCATTTGGTGATGTTGGACTGGATTTAGCTTGGGCAAGAAGAGACTGGTTGACACACTGGAAGGATGTGTAGTACTGGAGGAAAGCTACAGGCAGTATAATCTGAAGAGTGGGCTGCATTGCAGTGGAAGAATATAGGTAGATCGGTCAGAACATGCACCTTTGTGGCCTTTGCTTTGCTGGTTTAGTGCCTTTGAGCGCTCCCCAGAAGATTTTAACATTTGTAAGAGAGCATAGAAACAGTGTTCTGAGCAGTCTAGCCAGCAGTTTGCTGCTAGCAGCCAGGGGAAGAATGCTACCTGGTTGAAGCTGCTGCTCACAACACCTTGAAGGTACAGGGTAGGAGCTATGGGAAAGGTGGAGGCTCCTGGTCCAGGGGCATGATCCAAAGCTACACCCTGCTGGGGCTAGATGGTGTGGTGGGACTGATGGTGGTGGAGCAGTCTCCAGGAAATGCCACATCTGTGCCTTCCCAGTGAAGGGAGGGCATAGGGTGCCAGAAAGCTTCAGCCCCCACTGCCTTGCAAGTGACCCCATGGAAGGGAAAGGCTAGGAGAGGACACCCTGAAGTCAGAGCAAGAGCCCAGGATCACAGTGAGTCCTGATGCAGGGCCCTGGTCAGGAAGGGACCTAAGGCAGCTTTCAGGCTCACTACGAGTTGTGAGTTGCATTAAGGAGTCAGATGTGAGGCTCCAGGTGGGTGGGACCCTAAGCCTATGAGCGAGCTAGATGTAAGGCTTCTTGGGCAAGGGAATTAAGGGGATTGAGGCCCCAGTATGGGGGTGTGAGGGGGACCAAGAGGGTCCCAAGCTGGACAGGGAACCTGGGAAAAAGGTAGGGGCTAGAAGCCCTGAGTGGGGGATTATGAGTCCTGATGTGAGACACAGATTGCGAACCCCGGTGTGAGGGCACAGGGGTGAGTCCAACTGTGAGGCACTGGTGTGAGGGCACAGGAGTGCAGATCCTAGTGTGGGGCATTGGAGGGATACAGATGCCATCTGCGAGGCATGGGGCACGGTATAGGGAAGGTCAGAACCATGTATGATGCCCTTGGCATCAGGGCAAGTAAATGGGCAGCCTCCCACCTTTTTATCATCTTCTAATTAATATCATCAAAGGCATGGCAGGTGAGGTAGGTGGGTGGTTTGCCCTGAGACAAATGGGTGAGCCAATGTTCAGAATGGCCCCAGGACATCCACTTGTTACTTATTAGAAGTAAAAATCTTGAATGCCTGACCCTGAAAGTTAAATCTCTAAGGCACTTGGCAGACATTAAAATAATGGCACAGTTGAGATTGGAGGAGTTTTATGCCCCATCGCAACCATTGTACCTCCTGCCATGCAAATCTGGAATGACAGGAGGTACAAGGTTGGGCTGGGGCACAAAATTCCTCTGATCCCAATTGTGCCTCTGTGGAGCTGCTCTCAGCTTGATCCTGTGGATCAGACAGAGGGCAGCTCTGTCTCAGACCTAGGGTTGCTCATAGTCCCAGGACCAGTTTGAGACCCAGGACTGTCTTGGCCAGAGCCAACAATCAGCTAGCTTGCTATTAGCCCTGGCTCTGGGACAGCCCTAGGACCTCCAACCCACATATGTGGTTTTCAGAAGTCCCAGGGCCTGGAATCCTGGCACTGGGGACCCTTTCCCCCATCCAGGAGTCTCATTACCCCAAGACATCTAAGACCTGCCTGTATAGCCCAGCTTCCTGCCACCCAGCATTTGAAAGCGATTTGCCGTGCAGCCCCTCGGCTTCCCCAGGAACCTTGCAACCTGCACCATATTTACGGTACTGAGACTAGTGCTGTCCCGGTCTCAATAATAACCCTGTTCCTATGCTGATGCTGACAATCAGCTGATTTTAGTCAGCATCAGCAGGGGTACTACACATGCAATTTGTGGCATCATACAAATGAGTCACGAAGATGTTCCATATGCATATGTTGTTGATCAAATTTGTGGCTGGTTTGCCATTTTATGGCACCATAAATTGGTTGAATGTGAACACTGTTACCATTTTTGGTGCTATTGATACCTAAATTATCCCTTCAATTTAATATGTACCAGGGGCCTAACTCTTTCCTCCTCCCATTGGCCCCATTCTTGAAATGCATTAACCCCTACAGACACAAAGGGTGGTGTGTGTGGAACTTAGAAATAAATGTGTGTGATCAAAGGGAGCAGGAGGGCACAAAAGCCCCCATGGCTCACCAAAAACATCCGGGAATGTCTCCTAGCTAAAAGGGAGGTGCACACACAAAGGAAGGGAGGGGCTATCACCAGGTAGGATTATATTGCAGTTGCTCAGGGATGCTGGGGGGCAGTCAGGAAGGCCAAGGCGGAGATGGAACTGGGACTAGCTTCCCGGATTAAGGACAACAAGAAGTCCTTTTTTTAAATACACAGGGCAAAAAGAAGGTACCAGGTAATGTGGGGCCCCTGCAAGACACGCTAGGAAATTTGGTTGTCACGCTAGATGACAAAGCTAACCTATTTAACAACTTCTTTGTCTCCATTTTCCTGAGCAGGGACCAGATCAGCCCCCTCACTGGGCCCCCCTCAGGCCCCAGGGGAGGCGCACCTAGGCCAAGG